GTAGATAACTCTTGGGGAGTTCACGGTAGTACATAGCAGAGCATCAAGCTTTTAGGAAGGTAGAAAGCAGATATCCTCAGGAGTTAGAGCGAAGAGGGATGCTGTGCAGCTGAAGGAATCTTCTAGGTTTTAAGAAGGAACAGGGCCTTGGAGGGATGATAGAATTTAGAGAAGAGGGCTGAAAGAAAAGGAACTGCAGGAAGAGATGAAACATTTCCGAGGTCCTGAAATCAGCACACTGATCCATAACACTTTGCTGGGATTACATTTAAAAAATTATTCTAACATATCTTCCTTAAGGAAATTGAAAGAAATAGCCCCAAAGAAGACAGACTGAAAGACATAAAACCAATTTTCCCATTGACAAACATTTATTGGACATAAAATACTTGCCAGTTACTGTGCTAGATACTGGGTATAAGAAGCTATGGGTAACTTTGAACAAATTTATAGGACAGTTTTAAAAATGGACCCTCTCTTCAACGTATGGTAAAATGTTTGATCCACAGAGCTGTATTGTATACTTTGTTCTAGGCATTCAAAGAATTCTATGAAGAATTCCATTGTATATTATTTTCAGGAAAAATCCATAATGATACATAAAGTAGTTACATGTATATGGACACATACATTATACTATCTTATTCAGTAAGACAGGTTATTATTGGACAATAGCATAGACACAGAATGCTATTCGTTCTGGAAGAATCAGGTTGTCTGGATATGCCATACCTAGATTACTGAGGAACTCTCTTGGCCCCAGGACTCAACATGTGCTTTCTTCACCTGTACCTGCTGCCAGGCCATTCATAGAAGTCTTTCCCACCAGCTAGTGGGGCTCAGTGGTTGAGCATCGACCCAGGAACCAAGAGGTCATGGTTTGATTCTCCAGTCAGGGCACATGCTGGGGTTTGGGGCACTATCCCTAGAGGAGGGCATGCAGAAGGTGGCCCCTCTCATCAATGTTTCTATATCTCTATCCCTCTCCCTTCCTCTCTCTCTAAAAATTAATAAAAACATATGTAAGAAAAAATAAGTTTTTCCCAGGTGCCTTTCTTTGACCTTCCTTCTACCTCCCAGATCCCACTTTATCATCATTCACCCCTGTGTTGTACTTTTACTGCTTCATCTGCAAGGTCTACCTAAAGTGTGTACACACCTTTTAGCTCAACCAAAGGCAGCTATGGCGACATTGTTAGGCCATCTGTGCAGTTGAGATGCACAAGTATTTATTCTTTAAAAAAGAAATGTTAGAAGGCAGTGAAAATTACAGGATACTATAAATGGAGAAGAAATGTAGGTATTTCTATGTAATTATCACCAACTTTTATAAGTGTATTTCCAGTTATTTTTCTGATTACTCAGAATTCTAATATAGTTGGTGAAAGGATGTTTAGAACATGTTTCGAACATGTCACAATATGCCAAGAACATACAGATACACACACACACACACACACACACAGGAAGAAAGAAGATATGAGTGTCTATCAAACGGGGAAAAAATAGGAAAGATGATGACAATTATACAAATATGAACATAGTACTGACATGTTGCCCAGCGATAATTATAGAGCAGTAGAATCCATGAAAACGGAATGTTCCAATAGATAATAATGTCTGTTTTTTCTCATTAAATTTATAAGCTGCTGCCCCATGTATTTTTTCCTCTCACCTCAAATACCAAAATCTTTTCAAGTTTCACTGCTCAAATGCAATGCACTGATCACATGCAAAAACAAAAAGAAAAACCTAGGTCATTTCCAAATTGATGGGAAATAATTTATTGAGAAGATTAAACTTAAAAAAAATCATTTAAAGTTCATAGTTTTACAACAAAAAATGTTGGTAGTACAAATGAGTTTTCCTAGGATATTTAGAAAATTTTCAATATTATATTTTAAGGGAAGACCCAAGAAAACACCTTGGAAATAGGGGAAGAATGCGTTAAAAGGCACTGAATTTTATTATGCTATTTCTGTTAAGTTTTTCATGGTAATTACTCAAAAAGATAACATTTATATACACATATAAATCCAGTTTAAAATAAGTGTAACTGATTTCACAGTTATCAAATCAATACACAGAAAAAAAGGTTTACAGACAAAAAGTACACATTTACAAGGACCTCCAATTAAAATTATTGTGCAGATTATAGCAAAAGCTCATTTCTGAGTTTCTGGAAAATGTATTTTGTAAATTCAAATAGCTAATATAATTCAGAGATCATTTAGAATTAGATATATATTATATAACTACTAATTTTAAATAAACTATTCATTTCTTTATAACCAAGGTTATAAAATATAGACCAGAATTTAAATTTTTTATTTTGGTGAAAACAAAAATTTACAAATATCTGATATGAAATATTCACAAATGGAATACATCTCTTCTGTGACACTAAGAAAATTTTCAGTGTAAGTTACAACATCATTTTGGAGACAGATTCATGAGTTCTGATTTTTAAAAACTTATAAAATGATGTGTAACTTTAGACTAATCTGATATGCAGAGTGAAAATATTGGTGCAAATAATTATTTATTCTTGAGTGGTAATGTTTTCATTCATCGAAGATTCCTAAACTAAAGAGTCGGAATTTGGTTCACAGTTTATAAACTTTGCACAAATTTTGTTATGATAACCTGTTACCCAGAGAGGAAGTTATCCATAAACAAAAACAATCTGGCATTTGCTAATTTTATAAAATCCATTGTAAAACTTCCTGGTCTGAACCTTTAAGCAACCAGATGTTAATGTGAACCATAACCAGGGAAAGTGAACAATGGTAAGCTAACAATATCAGAGAAATCAGGTGACATAAAAAAGAGTTAACACTCAATATTAACATATGTAATTAAATAAAATTTCATTTTTTTACAGTGACCAAGTAATCTAGTAACCTAAATTATGGCATTTCTAATCCACCTAAGGTTGTTGTCAAATTCAGTAATTAAAAATGCAATGCACTGTAGAAAACACATTTTTCTGTTAATTTTAAAGATATTTACAGCTTAATATTTTTAAAACAAATTATTTACTCAAATAAATTCTTACAATTACTTGTTGGTTCCTATGACTATATTAACAGTTATTTCTGAATTACATAAATGTGTTGATTACTAGGCAAGTAAATCTTGTTTTAAAAAACATTGATAAGTTGGAACAATGATCAAAATGGAGGATTCACATTCATGTCTCTAGTTTAAAGTCTAGTGATTTGTAGTGATCCAATATTTTATATAAATATTTTATATAAATACAAAATTCAATAATTTGTTTTCTTAAGTCTAAAAGTTATATGAGATTATAAATATCTTTACAAATATATGTTTTGTTCAGAAATTGTATTTTATTTTAGGAGAAATAGTCCTAAACATAAAATGTATTTTATGAATTATCTTAAGCATAAAAAAACAATTACTCACTTTTATTTTTAAGAAAAAATTATTATAATGCATTGAAAAATATTTGCTAGTGGAAATGCAACAATTTTTATTTACCTAACCTGTTACTTCACACTGTTGTTAGAATCAATTTTATAAAGGTAAAATTTTAATCTAACAATATGGTTTAATTCAAAAAAATCAGAAGGTTTATAGAGGTAATATTCCTAATTCAAACAAAATTTTGCTGGGTTTTAATTTTCCACAGAGCACTGAAATAAATAAATTTTTAAGCTTTGTTTTAAAGGTTTCAAGTATTTTACAGATACAAGTTTTGGACAACACCGAATTCTTTAAAAAAAAACACACAGTTATTTTAAGTTTTGTTTTACTCCATGGTAGAAAGTATTGAAAACTCTTTTTTTCTGCCAAAATCGCATTTTCACCTGAAATAATTGTATTCAGGCTTTCTCAGCAGGTAAAGATACATGCTTACAAGGTTTCAAATTTCAATGCATTCAAACTGAGCACCCACCGAATCACGTTCTCGTGTGTGTGTGTGTGTGTGTGTGTGTGTGTGTGTGTGTGTGTGTGTGTTATCTTGAGGTTTTATTATTTACACTGAATTTTAGTGTTGTTGTTTTTATCTCCTCAGAAATACCTTAGTGAACCCTCAGCATTTGCTAACCGCTTAATAATTGTGAACCGGCCAGTCCCTTCGAGTGATCGTTAACCACAAGAGTGCCTGACAATTTCCAAATCATACCCTCTGTCCAAAAGGAAAAGATAGGGCTTTGTGAGGCCGAAAGGAAGCGAAGGAAAACAAAACCAATGTAGCTCATGCTGAAAGTGAAAAGTGCTTGGACAGATTAGTATTTTCTTTTCTGCAAGGCGTCCTGCCAAACTTTTTTTTTTTTTTTAATAGAGAAGAATTATTTTTCGGTCTGATTTTTCAGTTTCTTGGAAAGTGTGGGTATTTACCATCCCCATGGGCCCCTCATAATTCTTGTCGATCGTTTTGTGTTTTTCCCATCCGTCTACATCTCAAACTGCTGATACCCCCTCCTCACTCTGTCAAAACCCCAACTCCGGACGACCCTGGGTGTGGAAACTCCGCCGACTCCCGACGACACATCCCCCTCACGCTTCTGATTTTAGTCGCAAGCTTCTCCCACTCCAGTTGCAGGGAAAGCCGGAAATTTTCATTTAAGCCCCCCCATCCCCTCACCGCCTCGCCCCCCACTTGGA